TGAGTCAACATTTATCAGAGTTTTACTGTCTTATATTAGGAATTACAGTAAGTCCATTTTTTAAAGTAACATTCACAGTAAATGCCTTCACTGTTCAGCGTCATAAGAGAGTTTCAATTATTAGAGGCTGGACGGTTGGCAACATGAAATATTATGGTTTGTCTTCCACGGCGATATCGCTGACGAGTAGTCGTGCGGTCTTCCCTCCTTTCCGTTTCCCATTTAATCCATATCATTAACATTGCCGTGTTTGTGGTCACTTGAAGCAGAAACAACGAGACGAAAACAAAAACAATCAACTTCACTACCTCATCATTGTTTACCATCTCGCATCCATCTGTTCGTGGCACAGCCTGATTTTTCGAAGTTGTGAGTACTTGTCTGGTAAGGTTCGTTTCTGGATCGCACAGAACCGTGTTGTTTTCACACACCATTTCATCATCCGGTACTTTTTGACTAGGATATTTCAGTCCATCCGGTCTGATGGTCTCATTTCTCTCAAGCTAAAAAGAGAAACTCTACTGCTCAGTTCCTGTCCCAGAATCAGCCAAACACGTTTCGAATAAGACAACTTATTTGTGTTGTTGCAAAATCCAGCATCTGTGCCCTTGGCAGCCAGGGGGCAACGATCAACGTCGATCAGCTAACTAGAAAATGGCATAGAGGATCTACATAGCAGCATATGCTTTTTGAAACAATTCTGCGCAAGGCAACGGCACCTTGATTACAAACCCAGCAGGAAACATTGGGCTCATTGTCTGTATTAATCCAAAAATAAATCAAAATTAAATGTTTGTGCCTTACTGTCCCCCTTTTGGACGACGGATGGCGATGCTTGGTGTAATACACTAAGGAACCAAATGAGTGTGAAGCAGATGTAAGAAAACGGAGACAAATTACTGTATTCACTTGATCTTATTGAACAAAACATGAAAATTCTATTGCTAAGTGAATGTCTGGAACTAGTGAATGAGCTCGCTTCGGTAGGCTGAGAACGATAGGTGATC